GAAAGGGAGTCCGGGAAAGAGCGGTTGCAAAGGAATCTTAATCTTATCTTAACTCCAATAAGTTTGCTATTTTAAGGTGGCTCTGGGATGCCACGAGCAAATCAAAGCTGAGCTGCTGTCATCCGTATCTGTTGCAGTTGGAAACTCTTTCCATGTGCCTTTGGCTCTGTTTCTGCTCCTATGCAATATTTATGCTCTAAGATATTGATATGAATCAGAAAGCTGAAGTCTTTCCAGTGGTATTTAGTGGCCTGGTTGGAAAAATGCCATTTCTATTTATAATAAGATGAAGATAAAAATATTAAAATGGATGTGCTCAAATAGAATCAGTTTTGACTCCAGTCTGAATTTTTTTTTTTTTTCTTTTCATGTCTCTGTGTTCATCTGACAGAAAACTCAAAAAATCCTAAATAATCCTGCTGGGCTGTTTTAGATTGCTTTGCTTATAGAACACAGAACAATGGAGCTGATTCCTTTAAAATTCCTTGGGCGTGTGTGGTTGAAAGGTCTGGCCAGCAAATAGAAAGGAAGAGAAAAGAAAAAAGTAAGGTGCAAGGTTTTCCATTCGCATCGGTGGCAGGGAAGCCAATGGTTAAATCTCACTGTACCACGGAGAGCTGCCTGAAGCCGGAGAGAGAATAGAGTTTATGCAGGACTGTGTGTGGAGCTGCTCGCTCGCTTGCCTGTGTAAAAATAGACGGCAATACATCAATTCCACAGTCTCTGCTTGGCTACAATTCATACCGGGGGGAGAAAGCAAGCCGTTTCCTCGTAATCTCTGGAGTCTGGAGTGACTGGCGGGGGGTCGGGGACCTGGCGTGTTTGCATTCCGCACAGGGCAATGTTCTCGGAAAGTTTGGGCAACTTGGGAAACAAGTGAAACTTTCTGTGGACTCTGGCGTGATGGGACCGGATTGAGGTGCACGGGGATCCTAGCAGCGCACAATGAGCCTGGCACAGGACTGCCAGTGCTTCCTCCGGGTAGCTGGGGGCACGTAGGGTAAGGGGGAGGGTCGGGGAGCCACACGTGATTTGATTAAATAAGATGTTCCTGTGGTGCAGCGATACACATCTAAAGTGAAAATAATTTGGCCCGGGCCGGCTGCGAGTGCATTTTTCCTATCTAGCCAGGCATGCCCTGGATTCTTAACTCTTTGCTGGGTTTGCAAATGCGGACTCGGTGTGTGTGCGCGTGCCCGTCCTGCCTTGGCAGGTCGTATCTGCGGATTGCAACGGTTCTGGTGTGGTTGTGATTTCTGGGGAAGGCGGGATGCCTATGGATCATGCATAGGTCCTGGAGCTATGATGAGTCAGGGTTCTAAGTGGCGTCAAAGTCCTAATTGTCTTGGAGTAGCTGGCGCGTCCTGTGGGTGCTTGTCTGGCCGGCACCGTGGGTCTCAGCTGCTGTAGTTTCATTTTTCCATCGTGTATTTAATTCCTGATGCTGCCGGGAGAGTCGATGGGGGAAAGGAGATCATATGGAAACGCGGCCGGTTTGCTGTAATCATTGCAATTGCTGGAGTCATTTTAAACAAGCGATAAGACCCTGTAGGACGGTGGCCCTTTCCTTTTTGTCTCAAGGAGGAGGTGAGGTCCCAGGCTCATTGTCCAGCCAGGGATTGAGTTGTCGGCTGGCTGCGACTGGCTGGTCGCTTCTTGGTCGCACGGTCGGCAGCAAGCGGCTGGGAGCCTGGCGCTGGCCATGGCAGCTCAGGGAATCACCCTCGCCTGCCTGACATATCACCAGCAGCAGGTAGCGCAGGCAGCTTTCATTTTTTGAATCGTTAATGTTTGCTGTCATCCTCCAACGTACGATGCCCCTTTGCACATAATGACAGGACAGCGCGTCGGTTAATAAAGGCCTGCGTCGCTACGGCGACTCGGAGTCCCCGGTGTTTCACAGTTTAATACGGAGTGATGTGCAGTAAGGTTACTGAGATGGATAGAGAAGATCCACAGGACACACACTTGCGAAGAATGTCATTCGGAACTGCCCCCTCCCGGTCCCCTCTCCCCTGTCTGGACTAATTTTTTTTTTTTTTTTAAAGAAGTGTGGTTCTTTTTTCATTAATATAATTAATGTGGCCAAATCCACCCTCTCTTCTCACTCTCTCTCTCTCTAAAATTTACCGTCCACGGCACACAAAAAAACCTCTGAAAGGTTAATGGAGAATTATACTTAATTATAATGATTCATTATTATCAGCGCAGTTAAGCTAATTTATTGTCTGCTCCTTAACTAAGAGAAAAGTCTGTTGGGGTGAAATAACGTACAATAATAATTAGCCTTTTGTGTTTAGTAACCGCTTTATCCTCTTAAATCTTCTTAGAACATTCAGGCTGCGGTGGTGAAATAGCTGCCAGAGCGGCGGAGAGCCGGGAGAGTGCGGGGCCCTCCCTGCCATAAAGCACACCTGTTACAGATGTATAAGGAAGCAGTAAATAGCAGCGTGGCAGATGAGGACAGCTACCGGGCCCAAACCTACCAGTCCGGCAGCCTCTCAGGGCCACACATAAATGAATAACAGGAACACTTGCTACCGCTAACATGTTTTAGATCACCGGGAGAATGCCCCATTCAGAAGCACTGATTTTATGAGCATGTCAACAGTGGCAAGAGCACGGGCTCATTTTTCAATCATAACATAAAAGTGAAAACGAGAAAGGAGGGCAGGGGAGGAGGAAAGGGAAGAAGTGGGTGAGTGACAGCACAGGAAAACACACCAAAAAAAAAAATCGATCTGATCTTTTTCGTGGTTTGCAAAAGTAACTTAAAAATGCATGTTTATGAAACGTTGAAGGGTTTTGAAAGAGCCATGGCCAGGGAGGGCAGTTAAGGAGAAAGATAGCAAGAGGTTGCCCCCAGTTGGTGGAACAGACACCTCAAAGCATTCTGGAGCAGGTTTCTAAGTCCTGCTCTTCACAGAGGGAACTTGAGCCAGATATAGAGATCTGATGTTTCCTAACTTTAATTTTCCTTGTGGCTCTCTTGTTTTGTGTGTGTGTGTGTGTGTGTGTGTGTGTGTGTGTGTGTGTGTGTGTGTTTAAGGACTAGCTCCCAATGAAATCCTAGTAGTTTTTGTGCCACTGAAAAAATTCTGCCCTGGCCTCTGAATTGGCCATGGTGTGGAAGAGTTAACACGGTGTGTTTGTGCTTAGAGGATAAGCAGTGAGGGAAGTGTTACACCCAAAACAAACCACGGACATTGCACCGGAATGAAATCACTTCAGCCCAGCCTCTGCTCACATATCACCCTCGTCGAATATACTGACCTGTAACTTTGGCCTAACTCGGATAATGAAAACGGGAAGTCCAATAAAATGATAAGGAGAGAGTTCTGATGTGGAGAGGAGAGCCCTTCCTGTGCATTGCCTCTGCGCCTGCCCTGGGGATTTCTCTGGGGCCTGGGGTCTCAGGGATTTCCAGGCACCTTCCTGGGTCCCCTGACCCACTGCTGGTTCCATTACCCAGTAGCTGAGCTGCTTCCTCTGATCATGCTGCTGAATGCAACCCGTGTAATGCCACCTGCCAGGGACAACAGGGGTGCTCGAGAGCAGGATCTGCATACAACTTATTTTATTCAAAATCTAAATGTCAAGCAGGATCTTCAGCTTGATGCCCAACCACTGCCTGGATGTGAATGACTTCACAAGGTCTCTCAGCCCTCTGAAGGCAGGGCCAGCAGGGTGCCCCTTCAGAGCGGGCGCCTGCCGGTTTAGACACCTTGGCATGCGGTCGGATAGAGTCCCTTGTGTTTGGCATCACGAGATCCCTGCAGTAGGAAGTTTTGGCGGGGTTCTGCATCGTGTGCAGTGAGGAAACAGCGGTCACATGGGCAATTTGAGATTAAAATACGACCTCTTTGGTGAAGGGGTCCACTTTCCTCCCAAAGCCACAGTGAGGGACCGTGGAAAGACCACCTCCTCCTTCCAAGGAGGTGAAAGACAGTAGCAGTCTAAGGTGGGCCTTGGTGACAAGCAGCCCAGCCACCACCGAAAAGCATATTTTAAACCTATTAATATATCAACATCATTTTTGAAACGCCAAAGAAAAGTTGCTTAGAATTTATTTATAGTTTAGGAATACATGAATGATAAAAAAAAAATATATGGTTGTGATATGCTATCATGGTTTTTCTTTCCAGATGTCAGGTGATCCCAAATCTCTCTTCCTCTCCTCTCTCTCTCTCTCTCTCTCTCTCTCTCTCTCTCTCTCTCACACACACACACACACACACACACACACACACACACAACTGTGTGTTAGACATAGTAAAAAATATAAAGGTCTTTTAGGGGGGAAAAATAATATTTTTGTCCTTCATTGCAAGGAACTTGATTTTGACCTGTTTGAGATGAAGTTCAGAAGTTCATAATAAGTCAAGTGAGACTACAAGATTTAAGTCACATTTGCAAAAGAACATGAACAAGTTAGAGGACTTGGTATCATTAGTTGCTAAATGAATTCTATGAATTATGATGGTTTAAAGGAGCTAGCGTACATGGAGAAAGTTTGCCTAGTAGAGTTCTCCTGTTCTAGTGTTCATTTAGCAGTTGTTTATTCAGTGCCTGTTACCGGTGATGTCAATTCCAAGGTAAAATCAAATCTGTATCCCTCCCTCAAAGGGATTATTCTCTAAGGATAGAGTGAAATTTTACATGTAGTCAAGCAGAAAATAATTTGAAACTTGCTAAGTGCTGACTATCAAAAGGGCCCACACCAATCTAGTTGACTTCTAACTGGAAGAACTAGAGAAGGCTTTGTGGAAGCATGGGTTTAGAGGTAGAATTTTGGAGCAAATGGATCAGGCAAAGTACCCTTTGGGAGCAAAGTGAGTTAAAGAAATTGGGATGTTTTTTTCTAGGGACTGAAACCCTGGAAACCAGCTTTGGTGGTGTCGTTGCATTAACCAGGCTTAATTCCTCTCACATGCTACTGCAGTTTAATAAATTCCTGAAGTTAATGAAGGTTTTTTTTTTTTTCCTCCTGCCTCCTGCAGTGTGCTGCTCTGGTTGGTGAAGACCAGCCTCTTTGCCCAGATCTTCCTGAACTTGACCTTTCTGAACTCGACGTGAACGACTTGGATACAGACAGCTTTCTGGGTGGACTCAAGTGGTGCAGTGACCAGTCAGAAATAATATCCAATCAGTATAACAATGAGCCTTCAAACATATTTGAGGTAAGGACACCCTTTGGTGAAAATTAATTTCTCACTGAACTTGGCTTGGGCCAGACGAACATGATTATTATTGGCCTGAAACCATAACGGCTTCTTACATTGCTGTCCTCAAAGGACTTTTTATCACTGTTAAGCACTTTCTATTTTGTGAAAAACTGTTTGGAATACACATGGACTTTTTTTTTTTTTAATTAGGGGGCTAAGGACCCACAACACAGTACTTTAAACTATGTTGAAACACTAAGGATTGTGAAAGGATTAGTGACAAAGAAGAATAAAAATCTAAGCCTGTTTACCTTCTTTTTCCCACAGAAAATAGTGCCTAATATAAATTAATACAAAAAAAGACATTTCTTTTTAACCATGGGGTTAATTGTCTACATTTAATTTGTTTTTAAATTAAATGAGCAATTTATTATTATGTTTTTGATCAAAGCTCTGATGTCTATATATCTTGGAAACTTAAATCCAACTGCTCTAATATTTACTTATACATTTGTCAAAATTTATTCTTTTCAGTTGTGAAAATTGCCTCCCAGGCTCTATACTCTTAGTATAAGTCCACCCTATAATAAAGAATATTAACACACCCTTATTAAAGTGTTACTTTGAGGAAAAAAAGTTCTTTCTCACATAATCAGTACTCATTGACTCAAGAGTAAATGGTTTCCTATAAGGAAACAAACATCGAGTACTATAGCAAGTAAATCAAATACAAGTTATCAAATCTATTAGTTTCCAGTAGCACCACCACTGTCATCGGCCAACAGGTTCTAACTACTGTGTGCTGGACTCCACTGAAAGCACTTTGAGTATATTTTTATCCAGAAGTGGAGATATTTCTTACACTTCAATGCTATCTGGTTGAAAGATCGAGTCATTAGGAAAACCCATTTTATAATATTTAATGAGTGCTTCTAGCAACCAGCACATATAAATGCTGATTGAATAATGAGTGAATGATGAATATATAGGCATGTTAATAACAATCTTAGTGATAACAAAATGGCCAGATTTTGGAGCACTTGTGCTTGATGTATGTCTTCTGACTTATCCCTCAAAACAGCCCATTGCTTAGACACTGGGATTGCCATTTCCATTTTACATCAGTAGTCACTGAGTCTCGGGGAGGTGAGGTGATTTCCCCCAAGTTACACAGTTGACAAATAAAGAGCTGGGAATTGAACCCCTCAATTTATCTGACTTTAAAGTCGATATCATTTATAAAAATAGAGTAACAGTGAATTTGGGTGACAGCCATCCTTTACAAAGACATATCAAGCTGTTTCTTTGCTCAATATATTTAAAAATAGAACAGAATCTTTCCTCCCAGTGTTGGTTGACATGAGCAGGGAGAGCTGGTCAGCTGAGGTGGCTGTAGGTTCTGCCCGTGGCTCAGATTCTGTAACACAGCTGGGGCCTTACATGGGTCTGAGAAGAGGCTTTCAGGTGCTGGAGGCAGAGATGGGGAGGAGGGATACGGGGGAGGAAATGCTGAAAGTCTGTGGTAAGTTACACTTTCCCAGGCTTCTCAGCCGGGTCTTAGAGAGTTCACGTGAGGACATGGCTGGTTAGAACTGGTAAAATGAACATTCCTCATTCAGTACACTTGTCAGGTTGCAGGCTCATTTTAAGTCATGCTGCATTAAATAAACAGTACTTTTGAAAATGTCCATCTCTATAGACTCTTATCTAAAAATCAGCTATTCCGTATTGGGTGAATGCCATGCATTTTGTAGATGGTGGTTCTGGAATAAATAAAAGGTGTATGTGGTGGGGGTGGCATGGTAATCAATGCCGCCCTGGTAGGCTGGTTTCAAAGAAGACAACTTTCTCCATGACCTTGCCTCCCCATATTTCATGCTGTAGCCCCTGCATGAGGTAGTCCTCATTTACACCTTGGGAGACTTGGTTCAGTAACTAGTTGGTTATTTATAGATGCTTATTCTATACAAAGACATACTTTCTTATTTTCCTATATGAGTTTATACCCCTGATTGAGTTTTTCTCGGTGCTCTAAGACACCAAGTTCATTTATTTTAATCTATACTTAGGTTATTTTAACTCAGTGGTTCTCAACGAAAGGCAGTTTTGTGCCCCCCGAAAACATTTAGCTATGCCTGGTGACCTTTTTCATTGTTGGGACTAAGGGCAGGAATTGCTACTGGCATTTTCTGGGTGGGGACCAGGGATGTTGCTAAATATCCTACAATGCACAGAACAACCCCCACAACACAGAACTATTTGGCTGCTCGTGACAATGTTGCTAACGTTGAGAGATCCGGCACACAAAAAACACAAACAAACACAAAGTCATTGAAAGATCCCTCCGTGGAACACTGAAGATAAATTGGTCAGATTTACCAGACAAAATACAGTTCAGGTAAAATGGGGAATGAAGAATCAGAAGCCAGACAAAATAATCAAGACACCTGGGACCTCAGGATTGATATGTCAGGAATTCTCTTGGTGACAGACAGCAAAAGTGACTGTTTAGATAAACCCCCCTCAGAGTGTTCTCTGATGTCACAAGACCCATTCTTCTTTGTCTGTGCAAAGGGTAAGGCCATATGTACCGTGTTTCCCCAAAAATAAGACATCCTCTGAAAATAAGACCTAGCACATGGAAAAATAAGACATCCTCTGAAAATAAGATCTAGCGCGTCTTTGGGAGCAAAAATTAATATAAGACACTGTCTTATTTTCGGCGAAACAGGGTAGCAACACCGTGGCAAACAGCAGCAGCTTCCCCAGCATTTGCATGCAGCCTGGGCCTCTACTCTTTGCTCCCTAGTGCTAAATTCAGACATCTTTTCCTCTAATGGTGGGGGGAGGGGGCACATTGAGCTTAGGTGGAAATCTAAAATTGTGTCTTCTCCTGTGAAGAAGGACCATCTGCAGCAAAATAACCCTTGAGTGGCTGAGGCTTTGTGCTGCATGTTCCATGAAGTTAGTTCTCAGAGCCTGTGCCTTTAAACCTCCCACCGCGGACTTCAACCTGTGCTTCCTTTCCTCCAGTTCCCAAAACCCTGCCTCATCACATTTGTGAAGGCCCTGGACTGAGCAAGCCAGAAACAGTCACGGTCTTCGCCACTGGGATTCTGAGAATAAAATAAGGCCCTAGAGTTGCACCCTCCCCCTGACTCACAGATGGATGGCACTACTGGCACAGGGTTTCTGAAGCCGAATCAAAGCAGAAAGAAAGGGATATTTAGAGCCACAGACAGTAGAATGTTAAATGCAAAATGTTAAAACCCTGGGAGTAACTAGGCATTTCTTCCTCTGGCTTATTCCATACTTTTGAATCTAAGTTTAATTTTTATGTAATGTTAGAAGGAGAGAAAGAAAAAAAGTTTGGCACTGAATGTCAAAAGTAGGGAAAGAATGATTTCCTAAGTGGGAGCAAGGTGTGCCAACACGCAGTTGTACACGTGGGTTGAATAACTGTACACCAAACAGCGCTCTCTGCTTGCACAACCTGTGTTTAGATGTGCAAACGCAGGTAGCCAGGTGTGATTCAAAAGCAATTTAGAAAAACAGGACTCGAGGCCCAATGGTGCAGCCTCCAATGGATCCAACCCATGTGTCAGGAAAACAGGATACCGCCCCTGGACTGGCTGGGAGCAAGATTTATGTTTCAGAAATATTGCAACATAACTTCCTTCCCTGTCTTGCCTTTGTGCTTTGTTTGGAGGAGGAGAATAAAGGACTGTTTTCACCACATGCCACTGTGTAGAGATGGGTGGCACAGGGTTAGTTAAAATAACACAGTGATCCTTCTGGGTCCCCGTGAGCTACTTTGGCCCTGCTTTATTTTAGCATCTGCTTTAATGGGTATCTTTCATTCATTCTTACTTAAGGATGCAGTTACTTGGGGTCCTTTAGAACAAGGTGAATGTCGTTATCTCGTAGTATGTTCTGAAGTCTGCCTTTGTTAGTGGTGAGAGAAAGGCTCACAGCTGTAGCCAGCACTCACCTTGGGCAATCACTCAGTTCTCTGTAAGCTCTGATACTGTGAAGTTTACAGGACAAAAAGTGGGGAGCAGTGTCCTGTTAGTTGTCTATTAGTTATCCTCTGTGTGCCACCAAAGGAATGATGGCTTAAAGTTTTCAAGAATATTTGATCATCTTGATAGAAATATAGATGTTACATTCCTTCTTTAGACTTCCAATTATATTTGGTTTCTTTCTAAAATGAGCATATACTCTGTACTTACCAGAAAGTTCAAAACAATCTTGGCCATTTCATGGACTCTGAGCATTTTGGGGGGTGGGAACCTGCTTGTCTTATTCACTGACATTTTCCTAGACATTTTCTTAGAAAACAGCACAAAGCACTCAATAAATATGTGCAGCATAATGAATGAGTTGACCATCATGTATTTTTAATGATATGGACTGCATTAGGTAATGTGAAGATTACCTATAAAGCACTAAAGGTCTGTTTCCTAATGAAAAAAATATGAAACAATTAGCAAACAATGCAAGAGTGTGTGTGTGTTTGTGTGTGTGTGTGCACGCACGTGTGTCCTAGCTAAGGAGGGAAATTACCAGGAACATAGGAGTAGTAGTACATTTGGATTTGTGGTGGGCACAAAACATAAGCTGGCAGGAGAACCCAGTTAAAAATGTTTAGAGTTTCTATGGAAGGTAGGAATTAGGGTGTCCTTAGAGAGTTTTTTAAGCAGCAGAGTCATATAATGAAGCTGGTACTTAAGAGTGACAATTCCAATAAATGCAAGAACTATGGTCAAGCAGATAGGAAGGAAAATAAGACAGCAGGCCCAGCCACAATCCCAAGTCTATGTGAGGCAGGTGCAAGGAAGGGACAAGGTGACAGCAGAAGGGATAGTGTCTAGGGAACAAAGACTTGAAATACCTTGAAGGAAAATTCCATCAGCCCTGATGAATATGAGTTGGGTTAGGGAGGGAAGTGAAAAGAATGCTAACTCAAAAATGTTCCGAAGAGAATCAGAACTCCATGGCTGACTTCCTGGTTA